AATAAATGCAGATATAGTATACAATTTATTTATTTTCAAAATTTTATAATCAAGTCTATTTTTGTTGCGAAAAATAATATCGATGGAGTATTAGTTATGTATACGGTTATTTGAAATGTTAGTCAATTCATTTGGCAATTTTTGTGTTAAGATTATGAATATTTTTTTTAATTTTTTTAAGAGTATGTTAACTGTAAGTATATTTAACCGTTTATTATTTTTAATTTGAACGTCGTATTGAAAATGGCTATCTAAATATGAATTTGTATGCTCTTATTTTTATATCTTCAATTTATCTTTTGAGTATCATATATATATACTAAATCAACTAAATTGGAAAATTTTTTTTTACAAAATAATAAGATATAAGGTAACTATTATTATGATTTTATTTATTAGGTTTACAACATTGAGCTAATTCATACATGTTTTGAACACAATATTTAAAGACAAAAAAAAGCAACAGAACAATGAAATTGATGCTACATTTTTTAATTGAATAATGTTTATAAATATGTAAATGTTTATATTGATAATTTGTATTATTATTGTGTATTCACTTTAAAGCTTCTCGAAATAAGTCAGTTCTGAAATAAAGAAAAAAAAGTAATAATACAAAATAAGAGAAAATATTTTTACATTGTCGATTTGAAAAGTTCAAGAGAATCTCGTTTTTCTGATTCACGATTTGTATTGTTTTTTTTCTTTGGAATTTTTTTAAATTTTGAAATACTATCAATATTACGTTTTACAATGATAATGTTGACGGCTTCAAAACCTCGTGAAGCTACGAAATAAAAAACATCTATACAGTTATAACTAATAGGAACAATAAAAATATATCTTACTTTTTATTATATCGAATGTACATAAATCAGAAATGAAAAAAACTGGTTTATTTGCAACTTTTATTATTGAAATATCACGAGCAAATATATCTTGATGTGAATTGTTATCAGTTCTAAATTAGATAGATCGTTTATGAATGATTACAACTAAAACTAACCTTCTGATAAAAGCGTAATGTTTCATTTTATTAATACTAATAACTTTACCAGGTATATCTTTTTCTAAAATATGAAATAAATCTATAAAGAAGATTTTAGATTTAAAATACGTATTACCAATAATAATAGAATTTGATGTAGTTTTTTCTGTTGACATAGATGCTGTTGATGCTGATGTTTCCATTTCTTTTAAGAAAATGCTAAAGTAAATTTTTGTTTACTTAATCTGAAATAAATTTATTAATATTAAATTTATTTTATTATTTGATAATTTTTTTTTTATTATTGCTATACGATATATTAATACATATTGAGAAAAAATTGTTGATATACGAAACTTTTTGTTTTTTTTAATTTTCAAATAGATTGTTGATTAATTTTTTGCAGATGTTAATTTTTTTTGTTGTTCTTAATAGTTAAAAAAATTATTTATTGTAAATTGAAAATATTACATGATAAAAAACATACTTTTAGTATTATTATTATTATTATTTTAATTTGTTTTTATAATTTGAAGTAGTTCTTTGCGCAATTCGCTATAATCAAATACTAAGTTGGTACTGGACATCATAGCTATTGCTATATCTGTATTAGACATGTTAATTGTTACACCAATAATATCAAGCAATTGATAAAGTATTTGATCGCTGACAAACAAAATAATGTTTTCTTCATCTGAATGTAATTATGTTTTTATTTTGAAATTATATATTTAAAAAAATAAAAATTCACAAAACATACTTTTTTTAAGTACTATTGTAGTTGCAATGTGTAATGTAACATTAGCTTTCAAGACATGTCGATGGCATTTTTCGCAAAATAATAATGCTGCTGCACTTGTTACTTCATTTAAATTACCTTGACATGTTGAACAATTATATATTCGTTGAATTTCTCCCACTTCTTGTATAGTTGTTATGATTGTTTTTCGATCATTTAAGTTCATACTCAATGTTTGTTCCACATCATGAATGTTAGGTGTTACTGACTGAGAAAAAATTAAACATTTTTTCTTATAAAATAAGTTATTAAATATTATTTTTTATTTACCGTGGTAGATAATGAAATACTTGTATCGACTGTAGTTGATAGAACATATGATCCATTTAAAGATTTTCTACGTATCTTAGTAGCATCATATGTTTTTTCTATTTCAATTTCAGTTGGTAACAAATTGATTGCTAATAAATAACATGTACCCGTTTCATCCCCAACTAATATAAATGTTGATGTACGTGTTATTCCTTGACTTGTAAAATTTTCTGATGGACGAATATCAATTATTGATATACGTATTGTATTTGATTCATTACTTGTTAATGCATTTCTTATAGATGTAATATTATTTAAAGAGCCTTGGAGAAAAAAATTAAGATTCATCAACTGATGTTTTGACCATGATTGCATACGAAAAGTTGATGTATCTAAATAAATTGTATATTATATATCATTTCGTTAATTATATCAAATAGTATAGATTTGTGTTTTTTATGGCCTACATTTCAAACGTTTTTATCAATATATTAGTTATAAAATCTTATCGTAAATACTACGTTTTTTTTAAATTTTTTTCTGTTTAAAAAAGATTAATTGAGTTCTTTTTTCAATGCTTATGATTGGATAAGGGCTTTTCCAGTAGACTTTGTCTGTGTATGAATTTCATAGATCTTCTTTCCTACGTATTAAACTAAACATGTGTTTGTGCATCTAGTATGTACTTGTTTGTTTTTCTATTAAATATTTATTAAAACTATCTATCATGTAAATTTTTTTTTCCTCTATATTAGTTTAATTTGCATTCCAAAAGCTCAATATTTACGATATGTTACACTTACTATTATTGTTTTCAAGTGATCCCCATAACTTTATACCAGTTTTATTTTTTAATGAATTGCTCAAAGCTAAACCAAGTGGTGTTGACAGAATACCAGTTACACCACTAAAAATCCAACCATCAATTACTTCATTATTTTCAGTTAACAACGTGAACTTGACGAAATATTTTTTTTTTTTATTTTCGTTTGAAACATTTGTGATGTAGCCTATTATTGTATCATTAACTGAGTAATTAGTAGCCATTATTTTAACTAAAAAAAACATTATTATTTATTATTTAAATTTAAAATTTAATTGGAAGTATATTATTTGTCTTCGAAGCAATAAGAAAGCAAGTATTTTTAAGTAATTTATTATATAACAGAATGCAATTTTTTTTTGTTGTTTCAGATTTGTAAATCAATGTTTAAGTATTGGTTTTAACTAGTAAGTTTTATTTTGCAAAACATGGTAGATTTAGAAAGGGAATTTAGGAAAAAATATTTGTTTCTGAAAATTCCACTCTTCATTTATTATTTATTACTTTGAGCGTTTTTTTTATTAGAAAAATGTTTTTTGGTTATAGTGAGAATACATTTTTTCTGAAATTTTCTATTTTGCTGTATGGATAAAAATTGGCAATTCGACCGATTGTTTCTGTTTTATTTTATAAAAATGTTTTCTTATTTTTGGACCTTATATGTTTACGAACAGAAACATAGCTTCAAAGAAAAAAAACATTTGTATAGAGTTTATTCTTGTGGATGCTTTACTTTAAAGGGTGTATAGATTAAAACAAAAATAGACAAATTTTTTTTAGAGCTTTTGTTTCGTTTTTCTGAAGAATATATGCGAGGAACGTTTGTTTTTTTGCGAAGAGGATATGTTATGTGTAGGAACGTATTAGTAGATCTTCAGTATCAAAGCAAAATATTTAGTAAGCTCTATTAAACTTATGTCGAATGTCTTTTAGAAAACATATTATCGGTTGAAGCTATAGCAGTGATGTTGAAACTATTAACGATAATCTTAGAAGTGAAGCAAAAATATTACTTGCTTGTTGTATTGAGTATAGAAATTCACGATGAAATGTTTAACAGTTCGTGCAACTTGCAAGTGTTATTTGATCGAATGAGACGATGAGAATAATTAATTAGAAGAAATCTAGCAATTTCGATTTGTATTGGCGCGTACATGAAATACTTATACATATTTTGAGATAATGGATTGAAAGCAACTATTATGTTGATCTACTTTTTCTACATGTACATCATATGGACATTGTCAAATTAATGAAGAAACGAAAAAAACGAAAAGAAAAGAAAAAAATAATGTATCAGA